TTTGGCTTTGAATTTTAACGATTCTAAGAGGTATATGAACGGAAAATGAATAGACTATTAAAGATTTAAAGTGTGAGATGTCTAGACTGTTATACATGAAAGTTATTAAAATGAAACAAAAAAAATAGTTGAATTATCTATTAGAAGTAGTACGAAGATGAAGAAATGAACAAATAATATGAAGAAAGAAAAAGAAATCGAATAATGTATAACATAAACCAATCAAATTAGACCATAAACCAAATTGAACAATAACTAATTAAAGAGAAAATCTTACCTATTTAACTATACTATTAAAGATCCATTTTTAATATAAAATATTATATCTTTGAATCAATAATACATAATTTATTTGATAAATTTTCAACTTTACAGCTTAGTACTTAATTTAATCACAATCTTTATAACACATAAAAAAACTATAACTCTTATAACCATACAAACATATTTTAAACCTTAATTTCATATCATATATTATAAATTATGAAATTAATATTTTAAAACAATGGCCTGTGCGAAGAAAAAAAGAGAAAATAGAATGAATAAGAACAGAAAAAAGAACAAAAAATGTACAACTAACTACTATATACTCTTATTCATATAATTGAATTATAAAAATAATCAAGATGTAACAATATTATATATATATTTTTAATTAAATTGCCAAACAGATAAATATAAAAGTTGGTTTTGGAAAAAACTAATAAAGTAAACCATGAAAAAATTAATTAAATATGGATAGATTATTTGTTTAAAAATAAGAAGAAAAAGAAAACAAAAAGAAATGAAAAGAATATACAAAAAGGGAAAAAAACATGAAAGATGAGAAAAAAAAGAACAGAAAAGAGTAGAAGAACATAGAAAAAAGAAGAAAGTAAAAAGAAGATGAAAGAGAAAAAAACAGAAAAAGAACATACATAAAGAAGAGAACGGATAGATAAGAGGAAGAAGATGAAGAAGAACGAAAAAGAAAAAAAATGAAGGAAAAAAAGAACGAAATATAAAAAGGACGTAGAAAAAGAAGAAGAATGATGAAGAAGAAGATTGGTGAAAAAGAGGAAGAAGAATAAGGGGGAAGAATGGAGAAGAATAGCATAGAAGGAGGAAAAAAAATGGAGAAGAAAAAGGAGGAAGATGAATTATGGAGAATAAGAAGATGAAGAACGGAGAAAAAAAGAAAAACAGAGAATATAAACGAAGAAGAGTAGGAATGGAGAAGGAGAAAAAAAAACTAAATATAATATTAAAAACATAAATTTTATATAAAACCAATAATATATTATCATATTTTACAATAGCAACTTGGATGTATACAATATTAAATCAGTTGCATGTAATATATATTATCTTATTTTTAATTTTATATTTTTGTATTTACAAAATTTAATTTTAATCTTCATAACACATAAATAAATAATCTATTATTAATATAACTATTGATTAAACACATTACTGAACCTTATTGTAATAACATAATCATATTTTAACCCATTCATATAACAAAATAATCAGTACAAAAATCATCATTTTATAACATAATCTATTTTTTTGGTAAGGGGAACGGGAGACAATGTTTCCCAATTTATTCAAAACATAAAACTCAGCTACACACAAACTCTTTTTTTGGCGTGCAGATCCGATCACATCATTACTTAAAATCAAAACCAAACTAAGTGGAACTAAATCTAAAAACTGGATATCTAGAGGAAGAAAATATGCATTGTTAGCTAATCTATACACATGTGAAAAATGGATTATCCGGTTCCTCGAAACAAAGTCATGGCACATACATATCAGGAAACAAACTATCTTATAACATAATATATATAATAAATCCTCTTATACTAGATAATTTAAACATTTAAAAAATTCACTTCAAGAATTATATACCTGCTCGGACGCATAGGTCCAAAATCTAGTTTAAAATAGTATAGTAGGATCCAATATTTAATAAAAAAAATATTTATGAGAGTATTTTATAGTTCGTTGACTCGTACCAAATGTTCATTAAATATATTACAATTTGCAAGATCTATTTTTAGGTCTGACATTCAATAAAACTATACTCCTAGATTTAGATTCAGATTAGAGATTACATCTCTGATTTAAAACTGGTAAACTTAATTGCTGTGCAGATACACAACTCAAATATATACAAAGAAGTAGCCATGAGCATTCAGATACCCACTCGGCTTCGGATCAGGTCTTTTCAGATATTGGTTGTTTTAGTTTTAGACTATGAGTCCTATTCAGGTATTTTTATTTTTTTTTTAATCAGGTTCGGTTCGGTTCATATCAGGTTCTGAGTGGTTCCACGTACCCGAATTATTCAAAATTTATCTTAAATCTTTTTTTAAAAAATTATATTTTAAAAATATTTTGATATATTTGTTTAAATTTTTCAAAAACATATTTAATTAAAAAAATTTGGGTATTTTGGTTATTTTAGTATAAACATAACTAATGTATTCAATTTATAATTATGATTTGAAAATTTTAGTTATTTTATATCTAAATATAACTATTATTTATATATAATATAATTGTATTTTGGGTATTCCGGTTACCTATACGATTCTCGGTTCGATTCGAGTTTAATACCAGTTCTTTGGATACAGAAGTAAAAGTTTCATTCGGGTATTTCACAGGTTTCAGTTCAGATCGATACTTTTAAATTTGATTCAGATCGGAATTTTGTGGCCTAGCATGTAGAGAAGTAAGTTATTTTAGATCATTTAATCAACTTGATAACCCACAAAATAAGTTTTTGTTCAAGAAATACTACTAAAATAAATATTTTATTAAAAATAGCACAAAACTAAAACTAAATTTTAAACCTTTAAAACTAAACTCTAAACCAATTCTAAATCCAAAATACTAAACCAAAAACTGAATACTTAAAGTATAACCCTTTAAACCCATTTTTAGTGTTTATGGTATTTTTGAAAAATAAATATATATTATTTTAGTGATATTTTTAAACATAAATTAAGGATGGTGTTTTGAAAAACAACATATTTTACTGATATTTTAGAGTATTTCTCTTTTAAATATTCTTTCAAATTTATTTCCTTCATAGTGGGCACCATTTAGAACCTCAAAGTTTTCTAATGTAAAACTTACTTGTTTGGGTTTTTGTTATACAATCTTTGATTAATTTTCCAAAGCTGGCTAAGAATGTTGCTTTAATTAAAGATATTTTTGTTAGAACATCATTATCGTTGGCAGTTTTTCGCTGTATATCTCAGTCTTAAAAAATATGAAAAATTACTTAGAATGACTCAAATTTTAAGTTTTATTACTAGACTAAGTTTTAATCGACAGGTTTACTAAAATAACTCCAATTTTTAGTAAAAAGTCTTTTAACCCATTGAATAATATTTATTCTACAATATTGTTATTACTAATATCTTTAATATATATACTTTATTAACAAATATACAAAATCGGGACAGAAAATAAATTTGTCGACAGAGGAAAATAATTAATTTTTTCTTCCTCGTCGACTCCCACATTCGCAGGACCTTCTTGCTCGTCAACTCCGACCTTCGCAGGACATCGAAATTTTCTGACTTTCATAAATCCAAACACCACCGCTTCTTCCTCCTCAACGACATCAGCTAATATATCTCTATTATGTTGATTTCTCCGTCAATTCCTGTCTCCTTCGACCAGATTGCCTAATTTGAACAATCGCAAAGGCTCCTCTTCTGAATCGCAAGGGTTTCTCTTCTGTGAAGTTTTGGTGGTATATAAATTGAATTTTGTTTCTCTTCTCCATCAATTGAATTTTTTTATCTTCTCGCTAATTAAAATTTTTCCTCTTCTCCGTTAATTGTTTCTTTCTTCTTCTCCTTTAGTTGTTTCAAAAACATTCTAGTAATTACATTCTCTTACATTTTCCGTAAATTGAGAATTTTTCAGTCTGAAATTTAGAACTCGTAAACCAAAAGAGCAATCTTAGCTTGGGGATTTTGTTGTATTGTGAGCATGGACATACATTATCTTAATAGTTGTAGTAGTTCTTCTGTTCGCTTATTGTTGTAGAATACTTGATTGGAAAATAGTTTGCTTTGAACTTGTTTTACTCATTGATAAAACTTTAATTTCTAAGTTCTGTTTTCTTTTTTTCTAGGCATGGCGTCTTCAAGTGGTAGAAGAAGGTACCCTCAGCTTCAATTCGAAAAAGGAAAAGCACTTATTCAAAGAAAGAGCACCAATCACAACTGTTACACGAGCAAAATGTCAATGGTGAAAGAAGAAGTTGGGGAAGATGTATGGAATGCCATCAGAGATTCATCAGTTGGAGTCTTTATTAGGTTTCATGAAATGGATTACATCTGGTCCGCGAGGACTGTCCATTACTTATTAACAAATCAGTTGGAGGTGAAGAAGAATCAGGAAAAATGGTCGCTCATTGATGGACAACTGATAAGGTTTTCTTTGTATGAATTTGCAGAGATTACTGGTCTGAATTGCGATCCATTTAACGATCAAAACAACTGGGATGTCGACCATAGAGAGTTTTGGAGCGAGTTAGATGTTTCTGCAGGGCATGGACCTTCACTAAATGAGTTGAAATCGGTTTTGAATAGATATAGGGCCTGGAGTTTCGCCAAGAGAAGAATGGTCGGTTTGTTGTGTATTTTGTCGGTTGCAGTATTTGGTATTTCTCCTGCTAGTAGAATCCCTTTGGAATGTGCCAAGAAAGTTATGGATCCAGATATCTTCGATAGGTACCCTTGGGGTCGGTGGGTTTTAAAAGTCTGATAGATTCGATTAAAGTGGTCACTTATGGAGAAAACAACACATACATAATTCGAGGGTGTATTCATGTTTTGCTCATATGGGCTTATGAGTCAATACATTGTCTAGGAACAGAGTATGGGAAGAAGAAAGAAGGGCAAGAAGTTCCTCTGGTCTCATTGGGGGGGGGGGGGGGGGGGGGGGGGGGGGGGGGGGGGGGGGGGGGGGGGGATCACGTAAGCGCATCAACTTTGATGTCTTGTTTGCCAAGGAGAAAAGAGCTTACGATAAGGTCTTTCTAAGTATGTTTAATCGTTGGATTATTTTATATGTACGCTGAGTTGCTTGACAATTAGGCTGAGTTATATTTATGTTTTGATGTGTCATTTTTGTTTAACATGGCTACTCGAACTTAATTGTTTAGGTGCGTGTGAGGCATTTGATTGTAAAGCCAGAAGAAGAGATATATCCTAAGTGGATTGAGGACAAGGACGAGAAAGATTTAGATGAAGATTTGGACAATTTGATCAAGAATATTATTCATGATCGGTTTGATACAACTGCTTGGGATGTCACTGTACCAAAAGATCGAAATACAAGTTTCAGAAAAAGGAAAGTTGATGTCATGAACAATGATGATGATAATGTAGCTGAGACATATACACATCAAAAGAAGAAACCATCATGTGAAGCTGCAGAAACTTCAAAGGTGAATAAAAGATCAAATTATCTTTTTTATGAATCTTTGTGTCAAATATATACAAGTAAGACTTGTTTTTCTCACTCCCTTTGGAAATTTAATGTGCGTAGGCTACTGAGAAGAACAGTGGCAACAAGGAGAGTTCGACGCCAAATGATGATCAAAATTCAGTCTCTCGACTTGTGAATTTAGTGCAGATACTAATTCAAAATGTGGAGTCTATGGAAACCAACATTGTGACTAAAGTGGATGCTGCAATTGATGCTAAAATTGGTAACAAAATTGATATGCTCGAAAAGGATGTTAGACAACTACAAGAGCATCTCGAACGTGGTGCCACTAAGGAAGATGCAACATCTAATGATCATGTAGATGTGGATGTGACAAGTAAATCTCCAGTACGTTAGTTAGAAATTTTGAAAATATGTAGTCTGATATGGTGTTTTGTGAGCGGCCGTTTGAATGTGGTGACATGTAGGTAGCGAAACTTTTGTTCTAGTCTATTAGTAGTTACTGAAACTTTTGTTGTAGTCTTTGAATGTGGTCACGTGTAACGATTTGTAAGATGTTAATTAATTAAGCTCGTAACTACTTTTTGGATTTGGTTATCTGGTTAAAAATTTGTTTATGAGTTTTATAAATGATTTTGGTCTTTCGTTATTTATTCAATGATTTCCATGTTTTTTTTTCATCAGTCGTGGATAGTAATAAAAGCTACATCCCAAGACGATCTCCCGAGTAGCCGCGTTGTGAAGAATGTGAACAAAGCTACGGATCAAGTAAAGAAGAATGGTGAAAAACAACAGCTTAAGAAGATTGCTGTTAAGAAGAATGGTGATAAGAAACAAGATGCGAAGATTGCTGTTAAGAAGAAGAATGGTGTTGAGCAACCACATAAGAAGATTGGCGATAAGGGTGCGATGGCTCAATCATTTTCAACAGAATCAGACTGCGACATCCGGGAGAAAAAACAGAAACTTGATAATCTGTTTGGAGCACTAGGACAAGGTCTCGGACGTTTGAATGGTAACGCAGCTGGTCGTAAAAAAAATTTGACTGCAGCATTGCAGCCCCCATTCAGGGGAGCTCAAATATCAAGCGTATCGTCAGAAATGTGACCCCTTCAGCTACAAGCTACGATCCGTTTGCCAAAGTGGAAGAGAGTAAAGTGCGTAAATTGATGGATTTTATTGACCTTAAAGAGTATGTGATCTTTTCCTCCTTCCTCCATTACATTATTATTCTAGATACAAACAATATTATTAATGATCTTGCAAACGTTTTTAGGGGCCAACCTCTACGGGTCAGCAATTCAAGTTTTGAATTTTACAATGTTATTATTACTCTGAGGAAAGATTGGCCTGAACTAACCTATGGCTGGGTGGGTGGTTCGGTTAGTAATGTTCTTCTCTTGTTTTAATACATTGGATTTGTTGTCTTCATATGAGTCTTGATTTTCATTCTCTTTTTTTGTTCCAGCAAGTGAATTCAGTGATGCATATGTTCCATATAAGGTCTCTTTCTGACCCATGTCCTTATCGTTCTACAAGGATTGCATTTCTGGACCAATGGTTTGTTAGCGCTTGGGTTCTTGATTACAATGACTACGATCCCAAGAGCTGGACTTTTTCCAGCAAATATTTGGAAATGTTCAATGGTGAATATCTTTTTGGAGCAGTAACAAACAGGAAGTGGTTTATTGATGTCAATCACTTGTATATCTGCCATTTCATAAAAGGAGATCATTGGGTAGCGTTGGACATTGACTTGCCAAGTGGAAAGATTTACGTCTACGACAGCATATACTGTCATTGTGATGACAAGACTATTACCGATTCATGTCGACCATGCGCTGTAATGATTCCTGCATTACTTAACTCCATGGTTCCTCCTAATATTAGGAAGAAGAGCGTGAGAGTTTATTATGTGCAGAAAGAACGGCATCCCACAGAATGATAACCCTGGTGATTGTGGTGTTTATACATTGAAGTACATCGAGTGTCTTGCTCTTGGGTGTACATTTGAGGGTATAAACGATAAAAACATTCCGCAAATCCGTTTGAAACTAGCAGCTGAGATATTTGACGAGGTGGCAGATTTTCGGTGATGATCGTGGTGACATGGTCTCTCTTTGGTGATGATCGTGGTGATATGGTGTTTTATCATACTTGTTTAAGTTTATGCAGCGTGATGATCGTGGTGATAAGGTGTCACTATTTGTAATTCATCTTATGGACATAGTGTTTTGTTTCTCTTCTCATATGTAGCGTACACATGTTTTGTAGTGATTATTAAAGAGTTTTTTTTATCCAAGTGGTCAGATTATATATCGAAATCGTTTGAAAGAAGCAAAACATGTTTTGAATCTCTGCAACACAGTAACCAAACAGTATCCGTGATGGTGTTTTTGGAGAATGATTTCGGCAACAGTATATTGGTTGTTATATTGAACGGTGGGATTGCAGATTTAACGGTTCGTTTGTGATTTATAGTTGTTTTATGAGCATGCTTAGCAATGTGTAAAACAAAGGTCATTCTGGTTTTCTTTAGCTCACGATGATATATTTTTAACTCTCGATTACTAAATCAATATCTCACATCTCATCATTTACCCAAGTATCGAAATTATGCAAATAAATTGTTTGAAAGAACCAAAACATGTTCTGAATCTCTGCAACAGAGTAATCAAACAGTGTCTGTGATGGTGTTTTTGGAGAAGGATTTCGGCAATATGAGAATGAGTCAGACTACAAATAATATGTTTCTATACAGATCTCGCTTCATAGCATTGTAGGGATTTAACGGTGCATCAATCGGAGTTATAAATCATCCACAAATCGGATCGAATGTTGGCTCAAAATCATTATTTTTACGGATTTCTATTAAAAACAGTTTTACTACAGGTTTTTCAGGAATCGTTTAAGGGACTAAAACATGTCCGATGAAGCTAATATTTGGTAGACTGTATAACAGTATATTGGTCTTCATATTCAACGATCGGATTGCAGATTTAACGGTTAGTTTGTGATTTGTAGTTGTTTTATAAGCATGCTTGGCAATGTGTAAAACAAAGGTCATTACAAATTTAAAAGCCAAACAAGACGAGTCTACAATTACTCAAAACAAGTACCACAACACACGTCCACCAGCAAGACAATCATCAATTGTACCAACACAATTCTACCCCAAAACAAGTCCCATTAAGCTACAATGGGCATGTCTTACAATTATGACCTACTTGATTACATATCGAACAAGCGTGTTGTTTTCTTGGCTTCTTTTTATCTCCGGCCTTCTCCAATACTGATTGAATCCTAGAGTGTTTCAGTCTTCCTGGTTGTTGGCGAACCACAGGAGGAAGGCACACTTTTTCAGCGACATGATCTGGTACAGGAAAAGCATTATCCCTTGGGATCACAGCAGTAGAGTAGGCATTATACAAATAATTCTTGCAATAATAAGTATGGCATAAGGATATGCGAGATTTTTTTCTTGCTTCCGCTGCTGCAATTGCATGCACGCATGGTAATTTTTCCAAATCAAATATACGGCATGAGTATTGATATGCTCAAATTAACCCTTAGAGCTACTCTCTCAAATTAAGAGATCACTGTAGTACTTATGGATCGAATCCACAAGGACTTAAGGCTATCACTCAACAGATTTTAGATTCAAATGAAGCTAAGCAATAAATGATGAAATGAAAATAAAGTACCGAACGAAAGCAATGATGTCAGGGGCGGATTGTAGGTTCTTAAAATCAGAAGACAAGACGCTATGTAATGGGAAATTCGCTGGTTGACATAAATCGCAGATAATGGACTGAAAGGAATATTTATTAAAACCGTTCTAGAACTCGAAACACTAATGTAAAACCAATCGACTTCCGTCGCAGAGATTAACTATGATCAGATTCCAGAATTCCAAATTCCTTTGCAAATTCTAACAACCTAAACATGCATTATAGATCAGGTTCGATATGTTCACAAAATCACTAATCCAAATTCCTTTGCAACTAGTTATTTTGCTCATCTAAGATAGTTCTGGTGATTAACAATGTTTCCACATTCATTAAACAACCTAAGATCTGATTTCTAGGTGATCAATCTTAAAACCAGTATTTAAGCAATCAAGATGAAGAACCAAATGATTTATCCTTCCAGTTTTGTAGTTCTAACAATTCATTATCAACCTTTGAATTACCTAAAACCTAACTAGCAGATTACTCAGACATAGCAAGTGAAACACAAATCATGACTGAATAATATTGCATTAAGAAAATAGAGTAAAAGATGAAGGGGTTTGAAATTCTTCTCTACAGAGTATGGATTTTTCTCCCCAAAAGCTCTCAATCTAATCTCTCTCTTAGTCTCAATGAATACCAGAATATTTTCCTAACAATGGCTTAGAAAACCTAAATACAAGTCTAAACACGAACTGGGGTAAAAGTGCAAATAGTAGGAAACTTCTGGGCCAAGTTGCAATTTCTTCCAATGAGCTTTTATACTTCCTCGCGACCACGACCGGTGTCGATCGACACCAAGTAGTGGGTGTCGATCGACACCCTGTTCCTCAATGCCCTCCGACTTGGTCCTTTCAGCATCAACTTCAGTATAGCTCCAAAAGGTTCCAGAATCCACAATTATGCTCCATTCGTACCTAGACCTGCAAAGACTCTATAGGACTCGAAAAATACTAAAAAGACTCTATAAACAAGACTTATACCATGGTTAAAAACCAGAAAAAACCATGATATATCAACTCCCCCAAACTTATCTTTTGCTTGCCCTCAAGCAAACATTAGACAAGGCCTAAGGTCGAAGTTTGAAAACAAAGAAAAAGTCAGTCAGCCATCAGGAACACCACATTTATTAACACTTTTCGAGTCCACATACCACAGGGTCAACACAAGATCAAATTTCAGTCTAATCATCACAGGCTTAGCAAATCTTTCAAATCCAGTTCAAGCTCCTTCAAGAAATCCGAAATCTCTACTGCTAAACTCCTTATTTTTATCTTTGTGATGTCTCATCAAGGTTTTATCATCTCTATCACTTATAGATTCTTTTCCCTTCCTACACAACTGAACAAGCAGTCTCAACACAGTTCTCCTATTTTCTCTTCCCTTGATCTTTTCTTTCTGATTTTTTTAAGCTCTTTCTCATATTTTAATGGTCTAAGATATGGTGCTACTCAATACTTGTGTTCCTTGTGAGGAGACAGGTTCTTGAGTGTGTTCACTACTGTTGTTCCTTGTGAGGAGACAGGGTCATGAATGCACCAAACTTTTTGACTCAAAATCTTTTAAGCTCATTCAGGGAAGATCAAAGAGAAACCGTTTTTGATATACTTGTCAGTGTTAGAAGAGAGAATCAAGATCAAAGAGAGTCAAGCACCAAGACAATAAGTTTAAGTTCATTTAAGTGGAGCTAACAGCAAATTTTCCAGATTCTCTAAGAACTTAAACCTTCATTGCTAGACTGATCTACCTATGACTTTCAACTTAGTAAGACTTGCAATCAACAGCTGTGGCAATGGTTCTTATAAGCATCAATGTTCTGTGGTTTGTTCCAAGAAAAACTGACAATTTCAAAAATTTTGACTCAATAAAACAGGTTTTGACTCAACTTTGAGACTCTATAAAAACAAAACAATGTACACAATGTCAGCAATGACCTTCCCCAGACTTAAACAACACTGTCCCCAGTGTTATCAAGCAAGGAGTTGGTAGAAAGAGGCAAAGAAACGATTTGTACAGAGATGAGAAAGTGGTACCTGTGACTGCGCGTGGTGTCGATCAACACCACATGGTTGGTGTCGATCGACACCCTGTCCGAAAACAGAATGGGATGACCCAAACATGTGTATGTGTTGCAAGTTAGATTGTTAGCTGATGTTCTCCAAAGTCAGAACTGTTAAGAACACTCAAGCAAACAATTAAAAGCAACAACATAATCCAAAATCTCATCAGTTCAAACAAATTTCAAGACACAATCAAAGCTGACAAACTGACTCAAAACAAAGACATAAAAACTGACTCAAGAAAAAATGAAAAATAACAAAGGGAAAAGAAAAATGTAACCAGGATAGCTAGAGGAATTAATCCTCATCCTCAGGATCAGGTGAATGTGGGCGAACACAACTGCAGTTGGAGATCACCGAGACAGCTTTCCACAACGCTTGAATACTCTGCACCACATAGCGCTGAAAAGTAGCCTGCTCTATCAGAATGTCGGGAGTCGGTAGAAGTGTATGTCGACCAATCGGCGGAGGCAGCGTCCGTGGTAGAGATGGGTGACGAGAGGAACCTCCAGCAAGGTCCTCAGCAGGTGCATCCTCAGCAGCAGAAGCAGCAGCTCAAGAAGATCCTCCTCTGCGCCTAGTAGCTGGCGCAGATCGTAGCAGTGTAGCATCAGGCTCGAAGCTGAGGGAGTCCATCTGCAGTGTTGTGAGAGTAGTCTGAGGTAGCGGAATGAGGCATCGCTGACCAGTGTGACTGATGAAGCTCCATAGCGGCTCATCTCTTGCGATCCAGTGTGTCCTCCTCAAGTAATCCAGGTCAATGAGGTGGCGCTCAGACACAACTCTGCAAGTCTAAGTGTCAATGCGGAAGTGTCGGAAGATGGATGTGAGGAGGCTGCCAATACTCTCGGGCTTGCCCCGAGCTCCAGTAAACGCCTTGGTCCTCAGCGAAGCCAAGTGATGGGCAAAAATGGCTCCCATGTTGACATCGCTGTCAACCGGGTACTCCTCTGTCAAAACATCCTCAATGCCGTAATACAGGAGAGTCAGCTCAGAAACTCTCATCTTCCCAGGCTCAGACTTGCACAGGACGGTGGTGGAGAAGAGGCGGACCAGGTAGCGCAGCAGCGGATGGTGCACATCAGTCTGAGTAGACCTCTTGGAGTCATAAACTCCATTCCCGAAATAGGACCAGAAGCTGTTCAGGTCAGGAAACAGCGTCGGGAGAGCGACGCCATTACGCTCTGGATCGAACCCAAAGATGGTACAGAGCTCAGAAAATGTGATCCTGTACCTGATGCCTCTGATGAGGAATGTGAGAGTGCCATCATCCGCTCTCCTCACTATGTCATTGGTGTAATACACCCTCGCCATGGCAATGAACTGGCGGACTAGCTCTGGGTAGAGATCATACTGCTTGGTCGCCATAGTACCCAAGCCAATCTTCTGCAGCACACGCAGAGCCTCCTCCTTGAGCCCGAGGCGGCGCAATGTAGCCTCATCTGCGAACCGTGTCGGCGCAAAGTCCATCTTGAGCCATGCA